ACCCTACCACTTCCCAGTCATGAATAGGGCTCGGCATAGACAGGCTCCTTGGCACAGGCTGACGGAGACAGGAAACAGCTCAGACATAGGAGCTGACTCAGACCCCAGGCTTTGTGGAAGGGTCTACAATGGCCTGGGGGTAGGTGAGAAGAGATTGGGGGGACCAGGGTGAGCTGAGTGGCTGATCTTGCTGTCGTGGCAGGGTTACCCACCCCTGACCAGATCCTGCCAGATTTCTTTTGTGTGTGTGTGTGTGTGTGTGTCCATCATGGGGCTTGAACTCTGGGCCTAGGCGTTGTCCCTCAGCTCTTCAGCCTCAGGGTGAGTGCTCTACCGCTTGAGCCACAAAGCCACTTTCCGGTTTTCTGGTGGTTTATTGGAGATAAGAGTCTCAGAGACGGGGCTGGGAAGGTGGCTCAGTGGTAGAGTGCTTGCCTTGCATGCCTGAGGCCCTGGGTTCGATTCCTCAGCACCACATAAGCAAAAAGAAAAAAGCCAGAAGTGGCACTGTGGATCAAGTGGTAGAGCGCTAGCCTTGAGCTGAAGAGCTGAGGGACAGCGCCCAGGCCCAGAGTTCAGGTCTCACGACTGGACCCAAAAAAAAAAAAAAAAAAAGTCTCAGAGATTTCCTACCCGGGCTGGCTTTGAACTGCGATCCTCAGATCTCAGTCTCTTGAATAGCTAGGATTAGAGGCATGAGCCACTGGTGCCCGGCTCCTGGCAGATTTCTTTGGCAAGCTACTGGGCCAGGAGTGATAGTAGATGTCTCCTGTTCACAGCCTTCCAGACCCTGGTAGATGAAGCTGAGGAGGAGAATAGTAGGGTTTGCGCTGGGTGGGGTAGGTCTGGGACGTGCTGACTCCAGCTGATCAAATCAGACTGTCTACTTGCCGTGGAAAGCAGAGATCCTATCATCCATGTGCGTCTGGTATAAAAGGCAGACCTAGGACCAGAGGCCAGCACTTGTGCCCAGCCAGGTCTCCACATGCATCTCTCCTGAAGCTCATCAGATGGCAGGGCTCTGACCTCATCACACCTGACCTCACCCTAGACACACTCTTAAGACTGGGGGTGGGGGGTCAGGAGAGCGATCATCCCCAGGCCTCCAGCACAAGTCTTGCCACCGGATACAGGTTTGTGAAGTTTTCCCTAAAAGTAGGGACTCTTGGGGCTGGGAAGGTGGCTCAGTGGTAGAGTGCTTGCCTTGCATGCATGAGGCCTTCAGTTCGATTCCTCAGCACCCCATAAGCAGAAAAAGCCAAAGTGGGGCTGAGGCTCAAATGTTAGAGCACTAGTCTACATCTGAAGAGCTGAGGAACAGCAAGGCCCACAGTTCAGGCCCCATGACCAACAAAATAACAACAACAACAACAACAATAATAATAAAAGAAACCACAAAAGTAGGGGACTCTTCACTTAGGGTCCTGACTTCCATCACAGAATAAGAATTTCTAGGCAAGTCACTAGTAAGAAAATTGGCAGAACTTTATTGAGAAAGTAAGCAGGCTGGGAAGGTGGCTCAGTGGTAGAGCGCTTGCCTTGCATGCTCGAGGCCCTGGGTTCAATTCCTCAGTACCACATAAGCAAAAAGAAAAAAGCTAGAAGTGGTGCTGTGGCTCAAGTGGTAGATCGCTAGCCTTGAGCTGAAGAGCTGAGGGACAGCGCCCAGGCCGAGTTCATGCCCCATATCTGGACCCAAGAAAGTAAGCAAGCAAGCAGGTATGCAGATGAACAGGCATGCAAAAAGGGCAATACACATATACACACTAGCAGGTGCTGATGCTCTAAAGAAGAGACACACAGCTCTTTGGCTGTCAGTAGTATTTATATGGTAAAGGCAGGGAAGCTGACTTAAAGATAGGAAAGGAGCTGGGCAATGGTGGCTCACGCCTGTAATCCTAGCTACTCAGGAGGCTGAGATCTGAGGACCACAGTTCAAGGCCAGCCCGGGCAGGAAAGTCCGTGAGATTCTTATGTACAATAAACCACTAGAAAACTGGAAGTGGCGCTGTGGCTAAAGCGGTAGAGCGCTTACCTTGAGCTGAAGAGCACAGGGACAGCACTCAAGTCTAGAGTTCAAGCCCCAAGACTGACCAAGAAAAAAAAGATAGGAAAATAGGGAGGCAGGGCCTAGCTGGCACCATCTTGGCCATGTGATGAATAGGGAATTATGTTTAGCTGGCACTAGCTTGTCTTCATAGTGGAGGAAGGAGAAATCCTACCTCCCAGGTGATAGGCATGCCAGAATTCCTAGAGGGAGGGGCGGGGACCTGGGACAATATGTTACTGGGCCTGCCAATCTTCGGTCAGGAACTTTCAAGCTCCCTGTGACCCTGCCCCCTGACCTGACCCTATTTAAACCCAGACCAGTTCAGACACCATTACACCATGCCTCATGTCTCCAGTGTCCTCTGGTCACCATAGCATCTCACATGTGCTCTCCATTGGATTTGATCTGGTTTGTTGGTATTGTTCTTCTGCTCTTTTTGTCCTCTCCTGTTCTCATGGCTTAGTTTTCTAAGTGTTAAGTGTATTCAAGAGGCTGCAGGCCATTGTAATTGGAGTCTACCTGCATTTCTAATAAAGATTTCCGGTTTGCTTTCTAATAAAGATTTCCGGTTTGCTAGGTGCCAGTGACTTACACCTGTAATCCTAGCTATTCAGGAGGCTGAGATCTAAGGATCACAGTTCAAAGCCAGCCCAGGCAGGAAAGTCCATGAGACTCTATCTCTAATAAATCACCAGAAAACTGGAAGAGGCACTGTGGCTCAAGTGATAGATTGCTCACCTTGAGTTGAAGAGCTGAGGGACAGAGCTGGGACAGAATCTCAGAGCTCAAGCCCCATGATGGACAAAAAAAAAAAAAAAAAAGATTCCAGTTGGCAAGTGGCTCAGTGGTAGAGTGCTTGCCTTGCATGCATGAGACCCTGGGTTCTATTCCTCAGCACCACATAAGCAGAAAAAGCTGGAAGTAGCACTGTGGCTCAAGTGGTAGAACACTAGCCTTGAGCTGAAGAGCTGAGGGATACTGCCCAGGCCCAGAGTTCAGGCCCCACAACTGACAAAAAAAAAAAAAAGATTCCCAATTGGCCTCTCAAAATGTGGCTTCTCTGTTTCTTGCAATTGAATTACCTTTCTCTATCACTCTCGGTATTATTAACACTTTTTAAGTTCCTGGCTTTTGCTGGCCATTCTCCTTATTTACACTCTGGGTCCCACTCTTTCATGACTTTGGGTGAACTTATCTCTCAGGAAGGCATACATCCTGCCAAACAAATGTTAATTCCTGGAGTGAGAAATGCATTACTCAGGAAGGAATGCATCCTGTTGCTTTTCTTTGGAGCATAGATAGTGCTTCTGTTTTTTTTTTTTTTTTTGGGGTCCGGTCATGGGGCCTGAACTCTGGGCCTGGACGCTGTCCCTCAGCTCTTCAGCTCAAGGCTAGCGCTCTACCACTTGAGCCATAGCGCCACTTCCAGCTTTTTTTCTTTTTTGCTTATGTGGTACTGAGGAATTGAACCCAGGGCCTCTGGCATGCAAGGCAAGCACTCTACCACTGAGTCACCTTCCCAGCCCTTGTTTTGCTTTTGTAAGTCCTGGAGCTTGAACTCTGCTTGGGCATTGTCCCTGAGCTCTTCAGCTCAAGGCTAGCACTCTACCACTTGAGCCACAGTGCCACTTACAGTTTTCTGGTGTTAATTGAAGTCTCACCCACTTTCCTGCCTGGGCTGGCTTTGAACTGCAATTCTCAAATCTCAGCCTCCTGAGTAGCTAGGATTACAGGTCTGAGCCACCTGCGTCCAGCTGGTCCTTTAATCAGGGAAGTAGATAGATGAATATCTCTTTTTTTTTGCTGGTCATGGGGCCTGAACTCTGGGTCTGGGCGCTGTCCCTCAGCTCTTCAGCTCAAGGCTAGTGCTCTACCACTGGAGCCACAGCGCCACTTCCGGCTTTTTCTGTTTATGTGGTGCTGAGGAATCGAACCCAGGGCCTCATACTTGCAAGGCATGCACTCTGCCACTGAGCTACCTTCCCAGCCCAGATGAATATCTCTTGTATTTGCTTTAAGCTTAACTTTTTTGAATTCTGAGTAGCCATTTACCATGCCTCTATTCCTATTCTACCATGCCTCAATCTGTCCTGGCCTCCCCTCCATAGCCACCAAAGACTCAACCTTCACGGAGGCAGGGATCCTGCCCCAACAGGACACTGTCCCAGCTGGTCAAGGAGAAAGAGGAGGGACAAAAGGCACAAGGGAAGAGGAGGGTGCTGGGATCCTAGAAGAAAGCTGTGGGATATCTTTGAAAGAAAATGAAAAGCTGAGGGCTCAGTGGTAGAGTACTTGCTTAGGATACATGAAGTCCTAGATTCGATTCCTCAGTACCACATGAACAGAAAAAGCTGGTAGTGGAGTTGTAGCTCATGTGGTAGGATGCTAGCCTTGAGCACAGAGAGGCTCAGGGACAGAGTCCAGACTCTGAGTTCAAGCCCCAGGACTGGCAAACAAACAAACAGAAAGAAATAAAGAAAAAGAAAATGGACTGGGAATGTGGCTCAGTGGTAGAGTGCTTGCCTAGCATGCGTGAAGCCCTGGGTTCGATTCCTGAATCCCACATAAAATGAAAAGGCCAGAAGTGGCTCTGGCGCTGTGGCTCAAGTGGTAGAGCACTAGCCTTGACCACAGAGTGGCTCAGAGACACCCCAGGACTGGCAAAAAAAGAAAATGGGAAGCTGGCAGGGAAAGAAGTCAGCAGTGGCCCCGGGGGAGTGGGCGAGTGTGTGCGGAGGGGCGCCCATCCGGGGGAGCCAGACGCAAACTCGGGGGCCGAGCACGGGAGACACGGGTGCCCGGGAGGGGGCTCGCGCGCCAGGCCCCGGCGGGAGGACGGCAGCGGGGCCCATGCCGGGCCGGGCGGCCGCTGACCACCGCAGCGGGCCCGGCATGCGCGGGGCCGGACGCCGGCCGGGGAGCACCGGAGTGGGATCCGCGTCCCACCCACCTGGGCTCGCCGTGCATGGCCGCCTGGTGGGCGGCCCCAGCCCTCGGACGCCCCGACTCGCCGCCGCGGAACCGAGGACGCAGCCGCCGCCGCCGCCGCCGGACGCCGCGCTCCCTCCCTTTTGCTTGTCCCTCTCTGCACCACTCGGCCGCCCCGCCCCGGAAGTGACGTCACGCCGGGCGCGAACGCGGCGGCCGGGCCTTGGAGGCCTCTGTGAACCGGGTCCCCTCCGCCCTCTTCTTTGCCTCTCAGCGCCATGTTGCTCTTGGGCGGAAGTAGCGCCCCCCAGCGCTTGGCCTCTTAAAGGAACAGCGGCCCCTGCAACCTGAAGGATGTGCTTCGCATCGAGTCTGCCAAGGGATCCAGTTTGATTGCCCCGCGTGGCCGCCGCCTGGCCGTCCATCGGCACCGGTAAGTACTGATGACAGGGGCTCGGAGCTCGATGGTGCCAGAGTCCTCGGTGCGTGTGTTTGGTGCTGCTCAGGCGTGGTGTGTGGCGCCGCCGAATGTTTGAACGGTCCTGGGCCAGCTTGGCAAGTGCTGTGCGCACCTTGTGTGGGGACCCGCGGGGCCGGTGTGCTCCGCACCCCCGACACCCTCCCACGCTCCTCCTGCCTGCCCTCCCCTCCCCAGGCTTCATCCCGACCCCCCTCCCCCAAGATGAAACCCCAGGTAGCAGCGAGTGCCGGGCGCAGCTGGGGGTGGAGAGGTCCACATTTCCATAGATCTTCCTGGGCCAGCGGAGTCTCAGGGGACACGAGTGATGGCAGAACTTTGCATGCACTCAGAGGAAACCAGTGCTCAGTCTGCACTAATGCAGGACGACTTCCCACAGGCCTTAGATGAAAATTTTAAAAAAGAGCCAGAAAGAACCGACGCTGGAGCTGTGCTGTGCTTTGTGTGCTGTCTGTGGGTGTGTCTGCCAGCTGTCTGATAAGATGCTGGCACAAGTGTTAACTGGGGTTCACACAGGAGAACTGGTGTCCTGGTACCCTTCAAGGGGGAAGGATTTTACTGCTATGTGCCAATTATTCCAAATAAAAGGATGAAGTTGCCTGTTGAGCTAATCCCAAGTTTCAGCTCTCCTGCTGGAAAGTCTTGTTTTCTCTTATAATAGAAGAGACACCTCAGAGGGATTACAGAATTTTGCCGTCTCTCAGCTAGGAAGTGGAGAAATTGTGGTTTGACAGCTAGAGGATTATATAGCAGGAGGCCTGGCTCCTCCTACTCCCAACAGAAACTGTGTTGTCATTCATGCAAGGCTGCGTTAGAACCTGTCCCTGGACATACTAGACAAACTGAAGGATGGTGTGCAAAGAGAGGTGGCCAGAACCTAGAATGAAAGTCAAAGCTACTGCTCTTTATGCCTTGAGACTGTAAGCCTGTCCTGTCCCAGCTCATGTCTTGCTGGAAAGCCAACATCCACAACCACAAGAACAGACAGTAGTCCACATGTTAAACTTCGATCTCTTACACACAACAGTCACATGTTAAGATGTGAAAGTGAGGCCCAGAGAGTTGAGAAATTCACCTAAAGCCAAATCCTACTTAGTCTCCATGTTTCTCACCCTGCAAAGGCTCTTGGGGCCCAGGGTCTCTCTCAGCTTCCTGGGATCATCAGCCCCCATGCCTTGGGACTTACTGGCAGCTGGGTGGGCTGCCAGAAGCTAAGGATTCACATACAGATCCTGTCCTGTGGGTGAAATGAGGGCATCAGACAGCCTAATGGTTTGTTCCCATGTTGAGGGTCTTGAGGACAAGAGGGGACACAGAAGCACCCAGGGTGGAGTCAGAGAGACCTTTTCCAGAATATGACTTATTCTGGGACTGAGAAATGTGCAGAATGTCTGAAACACTGAGGCTGGAGCTGATTCAAGCAGTCAGGGCTTCCCTGGACCCTGTCTTTGAGCACTGAGCGGGAAGGGAAACATTTAATTAGAGAATGTGTGGGTTTGAGCCCTTCAATCTCACCTCTGACCTTTCTCCTGGATTGAGAGCCCCAGTAAGGACTACCCTTGATCTCCACACTTGCTCCCCAACTTCCTCAGGCTCCTGGCTTGTAATCCACCTGGGGGCAACAGAGGACCAGAGGAGGGATAAGAGCAATGACAAGGTCTTCCCTCTGCCCTGATCTTCCCCTTCTATCCCAGCCCGGAGTAGCAGTCCTTCATGAAACAAAGGCATCCTGTCTCAGGATTGGAGGCTCCTGCTGTCCTCAGCTGTTTTCACTGATCAGGGCTCTTACACTGCCTGGGTTCCAGAAGGACAGCTGACTCCTGACAGCCAGACAGCTAGATCACTGGGTGCTCTCAGTGACTGTGCCTGGACACTTAGCTGCCAGGAGGGAGCTGACCTCTGATAGCTGGCCAGATCACTGAAGCTGTCACAGGAGAGGTGGCTCCTCCCCTCCCCTCCCCTCCTGTCCCAGCCAAGGTGGCCACATCCCACTGCTGGAGGGCACTGTCAGTTCCCTGAAAGCTTTCCAAGCCACTGGTCTGGTCCCAGGTCCTCCCTCCTGGACAGAGGCAGCAGCTGTGAGCTCCTGTGTGACTTCCTGTGTTTCTGGGACTCTGACTTGGGGTGAGTTGTTTTCTTTGCTCTGAGCCTCAGCTTCTCCACTTGGAAAATTCGTGGGATTTTCACCCATGGCCCGCTGGCTTCCTGAATCTCTGTGGGTTTTTCGTGTGACAAACTGTCCTTGGGAGGAGATTTTAATTGGGGTCTACATTCTGTACCAGGAGTTAAGAGGTGTATCACTAGGGACACCATCAACCCCGTGGGAGGGAAACTTGCAGTGTTTTCCTCTCCTCTGCCAAGGCCAAGGTCACAATGACTGGATCTCATTCTGCATGTTCATGAGATGTCCTGAAGTCTTCAGTTCCTTTAGGGTAATCTATGATTTTATTAGTTTCCCCCAAATGTTTGTCTTTTTTTTTTTTGCCTTGTTGGGAAAATGGTGTGGATTTATTTATCTGACAAAAATTAAGACAAAATTATATGCAGTTTTATAGTGTTTTTTTTTTTTTTTTTTAGTTGTGGGGCCTGAACTCTCTGAGCTTGGGCCACTGTCCCTCAGCTCTTCAGCTCAAGGCTAGTGCTCCACCACTTGAGCCACAGTACCACTTCCAGCTCTTTTCTGCTATTATGGTGCTAAGGAATCGAACCCAGGGCCTCATGCCTACAAGGCAAGCACTGTACCCCTGAGCCACCTTCCCAACCCTGTTTTATAGGTTTTAAGGTAGTAGTTTATTGTCAATGACAGGTTATTGCAACTGAGAACCTAATGCATGCTTTCTACATTAAAGGTGGGTTTTTTTGATGCTTGTGGTTTGTTTCTTCTTGTGCCACTCCTGAGGCTTGAACTCAGGGCTTTGTCACTGTCCCTGAGCTTCTTTTGCTCAGGGTAGCCCTATACCACTTGAGCCACAGCTCTACTTCCAGCTTTTTGGTAGTTATTTGGAGAGAAGAATCACATAGACTTTCCTATCCAGGCTGACCTTGAACTGTGATCCTCAGATCTCAGCCTCCTGAGTAGCTAGGGTTACAGGTGTGATAGAGGATAGGGAACCTCCCTCCTGGAACACGGAGGAAAGTGGAAAGCATTTGGACTTTGGGAGGAGATGAGCAATTCCTGAACCCCAGTGTGGGCCATCTGGGCTGAATCAGCTGTGTTCTGCTTTGGGGCCAAGTAGCACCGATCAGAGTCTCCTCCTTGGCTAGGGTGACATTACCCAACCCACATCTGTTGCTCTCAGCATGGAGAGAGGCCAATTAGCTAGAGAGATAAGCCTTTGAGTTGTAGAAAATGACTGTTTGGAAAGTTGGCTGGACCAGAAGGTGGAGGATTCTTGTTCAAAGTCTGCCTTCCCAGATATGGTTTATGGGCAGGTGTTTGATGGGTGTTTCCAGATGGGTGGGTACCTTCTCATGGTAGGCGATCAGCTGCTGCATCTCTGATCCTGATCACTGAGTCTCAGGCTTCTTTTAACCTCTGCAGATCCCTGTGATTTCACCCAGGCTGATTAGTTGGCCTGGGGTACAGGGCTGGGCATATTTCACAAGGCACAGATTACAGTGAGTGGCGCTGCCCCAAGGGCCCCTGGCTCATTGTCACTCTGCTCAGCTTCAGTCAGGGTCAGGTGAGTACACAGGTGTTCTCCTGGGCCTCTCACCTGTGGGCCCCACCTTCTGAGAGGTGGCAGATGAGCTTGGCCCTCCCTGCCAGTGGGTTGGTTTTCAGGGTATGCCAGGCAGGGGGCAGCGCTGGTACATAGGTAGATAAAAATCTATGCAGCCAAGAAGAAGCTAATCAGGAGGCTGAGGTCTGAGAATCACAGCTCAAATCCAGCCCAGTCATGAAAGTCTGTGAGACTCCTATCTCCAGTTAACAAACAAGCAGGAAGTGAAGCTGTGGCTCCAGTGGTTAAATGCTAGTCTTGGATGAAAAAGCTAGGGACAACATTTAGGCCCTGAGCTCAAGACCTAATACTGATGCACATGCACACACACACACACACACACACACACACACACACAAGTGCGCGTGTACGAGCTGACATGGAGGCTACAATACAGAACATACAACGCAGACCAGGTCCAAAGGCTCAACTCTATCAAGAGGCGGTGCACTTTGTCCACTGTCAATATAGGTTTCCAGGACAAGTGGGTCCAATGGGGCCCTCCAGGGTACAGGAGCTCATCTGATGCCCGCTGAGGGCACTCTGGGTGCCCAGGGGTCAAATATATGCTTTGTGGCCAGGCTGGTGACCTTGATCTGCCCACGGTGGTGGAGATGTGTTGGGGAAGGCACTGGCTTGCCATCCATAAATGCAACATATCTTAGATGTGTGGCAGGCTGTGTCCTCCAGGCTCCCCGGCAGCTCTGAAGGCCTGGTCTCTTTTTTTTTTTTGGGTCCAGTCATGGGGCCTGAACTCTGGGCCTGGGCACTGTCCCTCAGCTCTTCAGCTCAAGGCTAGTGCTCTACCACTTGAGTCACAGTGCCACTTCCGGCTTTTTTCTTTTTGCTTATGTGGTGCTGAGGAATCGAACC